AGCCCTCCCCCCCCCCTCCCCCCCCTTTCCCCTGCAACAACACTGCTACGAGGCGCGGGGAGCGACGAGACACGACTCAAGAGAGGCCCAGTAACTGCGGGATCAGAGCCGATGACTGGCGTTTCTCTGTAACCCGAAGCTCAAGGAGACTTGACCCACTTAAAGAAAGGGCTGGTTACCGCTTCTCCTAAACGTAGAAACTCTCGCCCACTACAGGAAATGCACACACTGTATCCTCACTCAAAGGAGGCAACAAAATGCAGCGCCTGCTCTGAAACTCATCTGGTGCTCCCGTAGTTTCTGCTGTACTCGAAGAATCGCGTGCTAAAGGGCTACACAAAGATTACCTTATTGCGTTGCCTTTTCTCCCAAACTCTAAATATGCTGATCTTCAAAAATTCAAACCTTGTTTGAGAAGACTGTAGTGATTCCCCCAACGTTTTTATATTTTAAAATAATAAACAAGCAGTGTTGGGAAGTACTCTATGTACATGGTATTTAAAGTACTACTATTTAGAAGAATTGTTCTTTACTTGAAGTAAATTCTCTGAACATGTACTTATATTTTGCGAGGAAACTAAACTCCCGACTTCAATGTACATTCCCCAAATATGAAAAAAAAGAAAAACAATGGCGGTATCGTCGTGTGAAAACGCATTCTTTCGAGACGTCATCTGGTCATTTCTCTGAGTGAAGTAATGACGGCTATAGCACCGATCCAAATAAGTGCCGTATAAGATACTTTTTTTGGATAGTTCGTTAGCGAGAGTAAAACAACTACTTTGCGGCGACTTGACATTATACAATATTTGCTGCCATTTTCGTAAAGAACTGATACACCTCCATTACCCCTGGAGCAATGCATGCCTGTTAAAACAAACACTGTATAGAGAATTAAAGGGCATCATGAAAGATTGTGTTAAAAGTGCTTGTACTTTACCTTGAAATATATCATATTTTTATACGCTACTTCAAGTACATCGCACCCGGTGTACTTACTACTTTACTTGAAGTACAGAATCTCTCATTTATATCGTACTTCAAGTACTTTTTAGATGTACTTTATGCGACACTGTAAACAAGCAGACACTGTCTAAAAAATCAAGCTCAGACAGTCCTTAACCTCAATGTAGAAATAACACAATCGCAGTACATCAATGACCAAACAAACAAGAAGTACAAAACAATTAGGCACGCAGAAGCAGAACCAGCTATTAAAGAATTTCTGTGAAAAAAACAAGCCGATTCATATTTGGCTAGCTCGATTTCGCTAACGGATCAAAACCTCTGTACTTTCTTTTTACCATAAAAAACATATAAGAGCAACTTCAAAGTAACTTCAAAAGTAATGCGCTACTTTTTTACAGTAATTAGTGATTTACTCAATTACTTTCTATTTGAGTAATTTCTACTCTACTCAAACTACTTTTGACGTCAATACTCAGTAACTTAACTTAATTACTTTTTTTGAGTAAACTTGTACATGTCTGATTATTTCTAAAGCATTATACAAGTATTTTGAATCCTCCAACATTTTCCATTCTAACCATCCTGGGTTTCGCCGGCAACGATCGACGGTCACGCAACTCATAAAAAACACTTGACGATTTTGCCGCTCCCTCTAATGAGCGAGGACAAATTGGTGCGATATGTCTTGACCTATCTAAGGCGTTTGATAGAGTACCACACACTAAACTACTTCATAAACTGTTTTTTTTTTTTTTTTTTGCATGGTGTAAATAATAGCGGGCGGTATTTATCTAATCGGGTGAAGTATGTAGAGGTTAACGGTGACTGTTCAATAGTATTTCAAGTGCCCTGGGGCGTCCCCCAGGGGTCAGTACTCGGGCCAGTATTATTTTTAATTTACATTATTGATATCGAGGCGGAAATAAACCAAGCAGTTACTGTGCGGCTATTTCCGGATGATTGTCTGGTATATTCAAAAATCAGTGCATCCGTTAGGTTTATTCAGGATTGGTGCTCAAAATGGAAGTTGAAAATTAATACACAAAAAACAGTGTTTGCACGAATAACTAACAAAACTAAGAATGGTATTTATTTTACTTACGAGCTTGATGGGAGTCCTTTGGTTGAAGCTGAATACTTGGGGGTAACACTTTCTAATGTCTTTAGTTGGAGTAAGCGCATAAATGAAATATGTCACAAAGCAATGAAAAAGCTTTGGTTTTTAAGACGAAATCTGAACGGTGCTCCGCCTAAAGGGAAGTTAATGGCCGACACAACTTATATTAGGGCTACCTTGGAGTACGCTGCATCAGTATGGAACCCCCATAGAAAAAATCAAATAGGTGAACTTGAAAAAGTTCAGAGGAAGGCGATGCGACTTATTCCATCCAAATACAAGCGACTTGATTCTGTCACAGATATGCTGAACAACCTCTATCTCCCCTTACTTTCCGTCCGTCAAAAAATTGCTCGACTGAAGTTTTCTTTATGTTTTCTCATCACCTGTATAATATTAACCTGGATTCTAGATTAACACATCGCGCATCGAGAGAACTCAGATACGTTAGCACTAATCAGTTTGAAGTGCCCAAATGTAATATTGCCACGCGCGTCCGCGAGCAAGCGCGTGCGTGGCCGAATGGTTACCGCGCTTGAATGTCGCGCGGAAGGTGTAGGTTCGATTCCAGTCAGGGGGACTGTCCCTTTATTGATTCTTACAACCCTTCTCGTAAGTTCGAAAACAATATCATTTGATTGAGTTCCGAATGTTTTGCGCACCGAAAGTTGTACGCCGAATGATCCAGAGACCCGCGGGGGCGAAACTCAGTCTCCCCCCCCCCCCCCCCCCTCCCCCAGCTGTTACGCCAACCTCGACGCCTGCGACGCTCTATTGTTATCTTCTGTTCCTTTTTTGTTTAGGGGACAACTTCGCCACATTATACGTTTATTTCTTCCTTTATTGTTCTTTTGGTCACCACCCGTGACAATATTGACGCTTATAACTTTTCTTTGTTCCCTAAAACTGTAAAAGACTGGAATAATCTCCCACAAGATACTTCATCAGTGGACTGTTTAGATGAATTTGAAAATTTGAGAGCGCCCTTTTGAATATGTGCGATTTGGACTGAAAAACAGTAGTTCTAATATTTTTGCTAAGCAGTAGATTTCGAGTGCTGAGAATTCATTTTGTTCAGTGCTAGATAATATGTTGAATGTTTGTGCTATTTCATCCTCTTTATTTTAAATAGATGTTACTGATTGTGTACTGTATAGTAGTCCTGATGTTGTATGTTTGAGTGTTCTTCTATAGCTCACACCTGTTGAAGCCCCGTGCTTCGGGTGAACAGTATTCACAGAGAATATGGCAGTTTTATTTTTGAATCCGACTTGGCCGGTGAGTGCTATTATTTGTCGCATAAACACGGAGAGGCGAAGCAAATATTACTCGTACTTGATACATCATTTGAATTCACTCTTTTAATAGCCGCCATCTCTTGATTCAACACCCTGATCAAAGTAATTGTAGAACAATAGGTTAATTAAATAAAAATTAATAATAATATTTTTATTAAGTTCGAAGTCATGTTGACAATGCAGTGTTGGAATGCGGTACAATGGTGCTGAATATTGCAACCGAGCTATCGCTTGACTGGAGTGTTCAGTGCCAGTGTAATCTATTTTCAGTTTTGGTGGGGTAGCAAATAATTTTATTGTTGCGCAAGTATTTCAATTATTTTTCCAAACAAACAATATTACTCGTTTTAATAAGACTCGTTGCAACAGCAGAGAATATATCTTGGACCATGCTTTGTCATCCGTATTAGAGAAATTTAATATTGTTTTGATTTTCTAACCTGGAGCGTTTTTCCTGTAAAAAGTAAAGGCCCGTGCACACCGGCGATGTAAGCTGTCGCGCGATGCGACTAGATCACATCGCAAAAAAATTAGATGGTCACACTGGCGTGCTCGATAAGCGAGTCCAACGCCTTCGTTGGTGAGTCGTTTCTCGAAAACTCTTTCTCCGATCGCCGTTTATTGGCTCAGCCGCTCCGCGACTAGATCGCATCGCAAAAAGTCGGGTCAGCAAGCGACTGCTCAAATCGCGTAATTTTTTTGCTTGCGATGGTCACTTTTGCGTTGAAAGTAATCGCCCGACTAGATCGCATCGCCGGTGTGAACGCTAAGGACCCACAAACCATGACTTTGGTATCGCAGCAGACAACTAAAATGAAACTGTCTTTGGTGATGTAATGCAACCGCTTGAAAACATCACGTTGCCCAGTCTTGGGTGGTAACGCGTTACTGTAATTTCGTTACTTTTTTTGGTAACTTGTAACTGTAACGAGTTACTTTTTTTAAAATGCAACTTGTAACTGTAGTTCTATTACTTTTTTCTGAGGTAACGGTGAAAGTGACGACGTTACTTTTGTCGTTACTTTCCATTGTTTTATGAATAATATATCACTGAACGAGTACAAGTTAGATTTTTCTTGCACTTTTCAAATCGTCTATTCCGACACTTCGAGTGTCAAGTTGGCCTCGCACAAACTTGTGAATACGTTTTTTCTCACGAGTCACGACCCCAATATTGCCACGGGAAGAATTCATAAAGAAAATTCTCGTTATCTTTAAAGGGGCCCTCCAACAGTATTTGAGCGTCTACTTTTTTTTGCGGTTTCTACACGCTAGTGGTCCCGGAAACCCAGTGGACAACGAAAGAGTTTGAAAATATTAGCGCATCATATTTTAATTTGACAACTAGGAAACACCTCCTCCGACGGTGGCGTCGCGAGGTGCCGAATGCGCGCGAATAACGGTGCTCCCTTTCACTATACGTCACATTCACTGGGTTTCGTGATTGGCGAGAGCCGTCCCAGGAAGTTTGAAGCGAAATAAAGTATATCACACGTTAACCGTCATTATTTCTCTAAAAAGTCGTTTTTATAGAGCTAATAAAGTTGCAAATTAAAGTTCAAATGGGCGAAAACAACGCCTCGTCGCTCATGCGCGCCTCCCAGCGGCGTCCGCAACGTACCGCCGCGAGCAGACGACAAGTGATCCGTCCAGTGCAGACAACGCGCATCGTATTTTCGCTTGTGCGCCCGGTCAACTAAAAGCAGTAAGAGGAGCCAGGGGAACCCTTATTTTCTTTTAGTACTGTGAAAGACTCTTCACTGTTCGAGTGAAGTGCGGCGACGGGACGGTGCAAACGACTAACCGTAATGAACCTATGGTGAAACGATCACTTTAGGTTGTCGGCTCCGATGAAGTGTCTCGTGCGCGGTTGCACCCGCACGCACCGGGATGCGGGTGTTTCCTTTCACCGTCTACCTGGCAAGGATCCAGTGCGAAGTCGCTGGCTGGAAGCCCTTCGACTGCGCGCTAACTCGAAGGTACTGCATCAGCTTGATCGTGTGTGTTCCGAGCACTTCTCCGCGCAGTCCTTCACGTCGTGGAAGGTTTCGAAGAATCTGGGGTTCGAGAGAAAGAAGAAACGCCTCGACGAGGGCTCAGTTCCGACCCTTCAACTGGATCTCACACCAGCACCAGCGTGCAAAAGGCGCAGACTGGTGAGCAATTCTGTGATATATATTTTTTGTTCTTTTGTTTTAGTTATAATTGTGACTCACACGATGGCTCCTATCGCGCCCGTGAACATGCGTAATGCGAAATTGTGGCAGATCTCGTCCGCTGGTTTCCCCAAGCATCAAGTTCACATCTGTCAGAAGCCTTCCCTTGCACAGAAGTTTCCGAAGCCAAAAGGCAGCCGGGCGCCCGGCAAGGGGACCGATTGCAGAGCCTCTTGATGCGTGTTCAAGTTTCAAACGCTCGAGCGAGTAGGAGGGAAAACAGCCACCGATCAGAAAGAAGAGAGCTCGGATTAGAGGGGGAGGGAGGGAGGGGGGGGGGGGGGGGGGGGGTGACGTCCACGGTGCAACAATTTCAAATTTCTTATAAAAACTCATTTGCATACATTTTTTTTTTTTTTTTTTTTGGTTCTCGGTTTTGAGTAGTGCGATAGTAAAAATAGAGAAGTATGCATTATGTGCCAGCTTGACTGCACGAATCGCTTGACTTCCTCACAAAGTGTTGTTCAATTAAATTAATCATAAAACGCGATTAAAAAAAGGCGGCAGTTTTGGCATTGTCTCTTTTTGCTACCTAATTAATTAACTTGTATTAATTCTGCATGCCCACATTACATTTCAACAGTGATTCAAATTGTCAATTTTTTTTTTTCTCAGGATGATTCAGAGACGCCATCTGAGTGTGGGAAGCACAATGAAGCAGACAACCTCTGCGAAGACCCTATTGTAAGTCCGAGCTAGAGCTCCTATTAGTAAATCGAATGTGTGACGAGGTTTAGCGTGCTACCACACCATGCCAGGTACAATATGAAAAATGAAACTTTGCAGGTGGTGTCAAAAGAGGACATGGCAGCCAGTATAATCGAGGTTGTGCCTGCTGAACAGAAAGCACCTGAAACTCAAGACTGTTCTGTGAGTTTCTTGGCAGTGGGTGGGCGGTGTGGAATGAGGATGGGGGTTAGAATGCGAATGGAGGGGTAAATAATCAAAGGATATGATTGAGAATGGATGTGCAAGCACACAAGGATTGCTTAGAAAGTAACACCCCAACATTTTTGTGTCAAACAATAGTTATTGAAAATAAATGAAATTTATAGGGTTTACTAGATATTTCTCTACGCATAACATTTATCTAAATAATCTACTCATCCTTTCACTACTTGACATCGGTAAGAAACAAGTGCACCCCAGCCGTATCACTCTATGCAATGTGCATGCGACGGCAATCTGTATGTGTATAGTTCTGGCGTCCTGGAAGTATGTCTTCCTCATAATGCATTTTACATCAAAACATAAGATCCAGTTCACGTAAATAATCTCACAAATGGGCTCAGTATGTCACCATAACTGCGGACACTAAAGCAGAGAATATGATGCCGAATTGCACAGCGTCGGGGTGAGTGTGTGGTTAAAGCGGCGGCCAGAGATGAATGTCTGATCAAAGCAGTCCAAGTTGCGGCCGCATGAACCACAGCTAAAATTAAGAGTATGAGGGTGGTGGCCAAGGAGAATAAGAAAACCGAGCACACCGAGAATACAGCACGGCCGCCACCATGTTTTGTGGGGAATTTATGAGCCATCCACTTCTGTAAACAGCTGTGGTTTGTGAAACGACAGTTCACTATGTGGCTTTAGCTTCTTAATTTCTAAAGAATTCAATGTTTCATGCCACCCTCGGGGAGCGAGAAAGGGCTTTTAGTCACTATCTTTATTTTAGGACAAGAAAAAGAAAAGTGTGGGTCATAACTTTCCGAGCAACTTTTGTTTAGAAGTTCCAGTGCCATGCACATGCCCTTATTTTGCAACCTGTTTACAAAAACGTCTGGAAATTTATGCAAGTACACAAGGTCTTTGTGAGTCAGGCAGGTGTAAGGCTAAGCACCAACTATGAGCTTGAAAATCAAAGAAACATCACTGTGAACACATTTTCGGCCATTTTGCAGGAACTTCAGCTCGCAACTGAAGATCATGGGTATTCCATCAGAAGTGCCACGTCTGCCGACCACACCTACAGCATTGAAGTTCAGTACGAAAACAAAGGTAAGGACATGCAAGATTTCATCCTAGTTGAGATGCACTCAAGCTCATTCATGTATTCAGTCCGTCATACAGCCTGTATCTCGTGGCATGTACCGTGTGCAGTTTTTAATTTTTGTAGAAAACAAGCTCTAATGAGACATTTTAATATTTTCAGTGTTCCAATTAGCATTTCCATGACACTGTGAGGACAGGGCTTTATCACACCTTTTTTGCTTCAATAAGCACGGTATATGTCAAGGGTGGCCAGGCTGACCCGGCATAAGAGCCGCAAACAAATCCATGAGACTTCCAATAGCCGCGGGGGAGGGGAACTTTTGTTCAGAGCAATAAAACTCGAAGTACTTTGGATCTAGCCTGGTCAAAAGCAGTTCAACTGTACGTAAGGTGGTAGTAACACAAGACTACCAAACCGCCACCTGTCTTTCGATTTAAAACGCGGTTCATTTCTCCTTTTGGGGAAGTCCTCGTGCGACCGGGAGCAAGGCAAGGAAAGGGGAGAGGGTAAGGGAAGGAGCTGCAAGCCGCACTTTAACACGCAAAGAGCCGCATGCGGCTCGCGAGCCGCAGGTTGGCCACCCCTGCTATATGTCATGCTCTTTTTGTGGTTGTGCGGTGGCGATGCTTAATAAATGGTAACAAAAGGAATTAGGGCTATGTTGCACTATGATACGTTAGTCTGAATGAAGGGGCGATCCATTTAATTTTTTCGGGAAGGGAAATGAGAGAGGGACAGGTGAGAAGGAGAGTGTGTTCTAGAGCCGTGATGCTAGACCAGCAAGGGACAGGAAATCAGAAAGTGCTTGTTGTACCTCAGTTCTTGCTAATGACCCCATAGAGAACAGGAATTAGCTGTAGGAAGGTGAAAGGGTGGCTTTGGGAGACCTTTCACAATTCAATCCAAGTTCACTTTATCTGCAAGTCCTGTAAACCGAGCAGTGTGGCATAGTAGGACCTGAAAAGCTAATTTGGTTATCAGAGAATATCGATAAAATATGTTGGGGAATTCTTTTTGATTTGGTTATATACAGTAAATGAAGTAGTAGCAACTGTTAAGAACTCATGTGCAATTATTCTAGATATTTCGACAAAGCAACATATCGTAAAGCACCGAGTAATGTAACGGAAAATCTCCACGGCTACGACAGCCACCGGATGCATCATAGATTCTCATAGGCCAAGTGAAAAGCCACCATGTGCCGAAAATTCTGAACAAGCCAGGGGAGCAACCACAGTACATTGTACCGATAACATTCCAGGCACACAGGTGAACTTGTCCGCCAAGCAGTCGAAGGAGACGCAGACAGACCCATGGGAGTCTCCAGCTGTTCTTCCGTGTACAAGTGCTGCTCCAGCCATCATGAAGCAAGTGCCTCCATCACCAGCAGTTGAGACACCAGCGTGCCAGCCTACAACTGTTTTTCTGCGCAGGGATCCTGCTCCAGTTGCTATGAAGCAAGTGCCTGTGCCAGCAGCAGTTGAGATGCCAGCATGCGAGGACTTCGCCACAGAGCAGGTTGCCCCATCGTACCGGCCGACAAGCCAGCCATTTCTGGAGGCCGACCTCTCTTTCGAAAGACCAGGCATGTGCTCAAGCCCTATTCCAGAAGAGCCTGCAGACACTACGTACGAGGCTTCTTGGGACGAGAGCTTCTTGAGGTGATACACCACTGACTGCTATTTTCACAGAAGTGTGCCTTCACTTGAGCCCATCCATGTGCAGTTGTTCGTTTTTGCGCTTGCTGGCTCACCTCTCCGTAACTGCACTACATCTTATTGATGTAGCCTCACTTTGAAGCTTTATTTCCTTATGTAAACACTCCACTGCTTTTTCTGGAAAGCATCTAAACCCCCATTTCTTCCACCATAATTACTTGTAGACGCCACTTTTGTAGAAGTCGAAGGAAAAACACCAATTACAGATATGATATATTTCTGAACAAACATGCATCTGAAGAGCAATAGGCAAACAAAGCCCTACCGCCGAATTCACGAACCTCACTCCATTTGTGGCACCCCTCCATTTCTACGTTGAAGGTGCTAAGGCCAGCACTGGCCCTCGCGCCTTCCTCAAAGAAGTGGAGGGGCACCCCAATGGGAGCGAGGTTTGTGAATTCGGCTGTTAGAATACTGAGATGCCACTTAGTTGCCTGAATATATGCTGTGCCAAAAGTAGAAGAGGAATGCATGAAAATTGATAAGGTTGCCCATTTGCCCATCAAGTCTTCGAATAACCCCGAGAATATACTTTTTGCAGCAACTCAACCTCAACGGCCCCCCTGCACGAGGAGCCCAAGTACATTGTATTTGAGAGCTGTTTATTGCAGTTGCTCCGCCCATGCGTAATGTGCCAAGCGCCATGTAAAGTTACTATTGTACCAGACGGCACACTAGTGAGGGCCACGGCTGTGTGCCAAAGCGAACACAGCAGGACTTGGCTCAGCCAGCCTCTCATCAACAACGTGCCAGCCTGCAACCTGCTCCTTTCCGGTGCCATGCTGTTCACCGGCTCCTGCTCTGCAAAGGTGCTCAGGCTGCTAAGGCTCATCAATATTCAAGCCTTCTCGGAAAGCACGTACTTCAATCACCAGGCAGCATTCCTGCAGCCTGCAATTGAACGAGTGAGTTCCATTGCATAATCGCTATCTTTCTCGTGCCCTTTAACATTTTTGGGCAGCACATTCTCATTGTCGTCATTACAATCCCCTCAGTAATGGGTACAGCAACTATTGAGAAATTTATTAATAAACAATAGAAAGAGCTCAAGAATGTGGAATCAAACTCATCGGCCCAGCCTAAATTCGAAAAACGTTTTCCGAACCCTTTTTCAGGTGTGGAACCGAGAGCAGCAGAGCCTTCTCCAGGCAAGACAGGGGAAGACGGTGCGTTTGGCTGGGGACGGGAGGTACGACTCTCCAGGGTACTCGGCCAAATTCATGACATACACTTTCATGGAGATGGAGACAAACAAGATCCTCCACTATGTCCAAGTGCAGCTTGGAGAGGCAAGTTTTGCACGTTTCCTGGAGGGTTAGAATATTGATGTTGCTTGTTACTGCAAGAGTAAGGCTTCACTTTGTGTGTAGCACTGACCAAGTAGATAAAGAGTGTCTACTTGCTCCGAGCTATAGGAAATAGTTAAAGGATAGCGATATACCACCAGTTCATCTATGCATTGACGCTGACATCACTCAAGCTGCATGTGCCAATATGCATACAAAGTGCCCTACAAAAGCCAGAGCTTCCTTATTATAGTGTTATAGCTTTGCTCATGAATAGTCTGTGTGGAAATTTAGGATGGACTGTTCCATACCTACATACAGGCCATACATTTTGCTTCATTTAGCAGTCGGTGCTCAAGTCCTTAAACACGAGCAACTGCTTTTTTCTCTTACAGTCCCCCGAGGTGAAGTCCAGCAACGCAATGGAGCTGCATGGCTGTGCCAAGGGGCTCACTTTTTTCAAGGAGGAGAATGTCACGGTCGAGGCCCTCGTCACGGACCGTCACCTAGGGATCAAGGGCCACATGAGGAGCAAAGAACCCCAGACACGCCATTACTTCGATGCTTGGCACATTGCAAAAGGTGCCTAACCCTGACTATCATCAGTTTAGTCTGATTTAGTGTCATATTGCAGTCCTTATGTTAGTCGGTCTACAAGTCTGAAGTAAGGTGCAATATGTGTACTGATTATAGTTTTTTTTTAACTGTTCTTCCAGGCATAAGCAAAAAGATGCTGAAGGCCAGCAAGTACGCCCGGTGTGAAGTGTTGGCATACTGGGCACAGCCTGCCTCCAACCATCTGTACTGGTGTGCTGCCAACTGCGAAGAGGATGGAAAACTCCTCGTCGAGATGTGGAAGAGTGAGTCAATTATTTGTCAATATTTAGTCCTATTATATACAGAAGTGCCCAGGTAGTGAATTTTCACTTCGAAGTGAGCACAAAGGTAATAGTAACCATGTTGAAATAACTTGAGACTGGGGTAGAGAAGAAGCATCAAAGCGTAGAAGGGACAGAAAATAGACAGGACGACGTCATTGAGACGTCGTCCTGTCTATTTTCTGTCCCTTCTACGATTTGATGCTTCTTCTCTACCCCAGTCTCAGGTTATTTCAACATGGTTAATATTCACCAGCTCACCTGCACCCTTACGAGTTTTTCAAAGTATTTATTTTGCAAGAATAATTTTGAATCAAACCAAATACTTGTACAAGGATGTGGAAGTAAAAAAAAAAAATCAAATGTAGAACTTCCAGTGAAGAAAGGATTGTCTAGCAGTCTTTTCCAATGTATGTTTCAAAGCTGTCAAGGAAATGAACAGATGAAATGTAGACCTGGTATTCTTTACTTTATTGACTCTTCAGTACACTATCGTGGCAGTATTACAAGAATCCAACGTCACAAAGCAACTGAGGACATAAGTGATGCCCCAAAGACTCCGTGGGCAGGAACCAGAGATGGTTTGAACCCTCAACTTTGCGCTCTCGAGACGAAAACAAAATCTCAGTGCCACGGAGGATTATTGCCAAGACGGCAATAATGTCAACAGCAACAAGCTAAAACGTAGCAGGGAAATATTACACAAAAAGGCAGGATGGCGGCTGCTTAACACCAAGTCAACCTCCTTTGATAACATTGTACATGACTATCATATAAACCACATGTGCCTACATGTCATAGCCCTTGCGTTAGTACCACGTGCCAAAAGCTTTACCGCTTTAGTCAGAAACATTACAGGAAAGTATCTGAATTTGGTTGTTGCACTGAAAAATTTTGCAGATCAAGTCTAGTTACCATTATAGGTTTACCTCTATTTTTATGGAATAATGGCACAAGAAAACACTGGACATACAGTCTAAGCTCATTACAACAGACCTGGTTACAACAGACATTTGGATATAACATAGGGATTGTGAAGTTTGGTTCGTTTTCCACTACATACCATTGACTCCGCTTCATATCTGCATACAACACACTCCTCTTATAACAGACCGAAATCTTGGTCAAAATCAAGGTCTGTTATAACGTAACGAGCTTAGACTGTATACAGGCATATATCCATGTAGTATTCTGTTGAATGTTTTCCTTGCTTTTTAAATGAATAAAAATATATCCTGCAGCATTCTCAAACTTCAAAAATGTTTGAAGTAGCCAAATAACCAGCCCCATTTGTTTTGAATATTTGCACGTCTAGGCGATATCATAACAAAGGGGGTTACAGTTGAAACATGCCTGTATCAGCAAGTCTACCAGTCAAAATAGATAACAGAACACAATTGCAGACATTTGACAGGCTAGCAGGTGCACTACAACACAAATGAGTATCAATTTAGGTATCTATGATCCAGTGCAGAATGACATAGAGCAAATAATTCCTGCATAATTGTTTGGCTCGAATGCGGAACTGTCGAAATATCTTGATCAGGTCGACATGTCCCCGTGATGCTACGATTTTGCTTACGTGGGACATCTCAAGGCCTGAAAGACTGGTCTCTGTCATGTAGACAGAAACGTGTTAGGCATACGGCAAAGGTTACAGGCATGCTGTCATGCCTGAAAGTTGTTTCGTAACTTCACAAACTGTTTGCATTGTTCTAAAAAATGAACCTTGTATTTCAGGCATAAACAACCATGCTCTCGACAAGCACACTGGCCATGGAGGGGTGTACGACCGCTGTGTTCACGACACCCTCGTTGGGGACAGAGAGTGGCTCTCTCTAGGTCAGTAGACAATCACACTGAAAACCTAACTCTACTTTTCTCTGAGCAAATTTGGTAAATTTGCACATTTAAGTAAAAAAAATAGAAGCTACATAGCGTGTAATCATGATTCCAGGTACACCAGCTCACAAGCGCTTTGTCAGCATTACCATGCAAAAAGTGCTTCTGAGGGACTTGGAGCATGTGTCACCTGCAGGCCACACGTACAACCTCGAGTCCTACCATAGTATGCTCATCAGGTTTGCACCCAAGTCTGTGGCGTTCACAGGCCCCATCATGCATGCAAGGTTTGTTTTCTGTAAACTAATTAGGCACATATGCAAGTCGATTGTTTTTTCTAGCAGGTCCCCATGAATGCTTTTCACTGCGGACAAAATTTCTGCTTCAGAACCAGATTGGCTGCTCTGCACCACAACGAAAACTCCGGAAGGGTCCAAGCGGTGACGCGCAAAGGGCAGCCAAAATTCAAGCGAAGGATGCAGAGAGGGAAGATGGGGACCGATCGTCTCAAGGAAGTAAAAACCCCTCCAACCTACGGTGAGGCTCATATAATTTTGTTGGCACCGTAGATACTACCCGCTGGACAGTCATTCCGAGACAATCTAAGTGCTGCAGAGACGCTTTTAGTTCCTTGACATATGTGATGGGTAACATCCTTTATCTGCGCTTGCCCTAATTACAGCGTACGTGGGCCAGCTGCTGTCTGAGGCTGCTGCCTGCTGCAACGAGTCTTCCCTCAGGGAAGCCTTGGGCAACAGACCCCGGGATCGGGCCCCCCTCCCCATGGCAGCTCACTACCCGAGGCTTCCAAAGGAGCAGCTGGTGGAACAGAGGATGTCACGTTACAGCAGAGGGACAGCAGGGTCTTCATGAGGTGAATGCTCCAAACAGTTGCTCTACCCCACTGCTTTGTATGGCATACACCTCCTGTTCTTGTTGTGCTGCTGTGTGTTTGAAGAGAGAATGAACGAGTACTGAAGCTTGCAAATGAATCTGGGGTCCGCTAAGCTATCTTGTTTTAGCAAGATGGGCAGCTTCACGGTTGATCAGCAGGATGGCACAAATGAGAGTGCACGCACTGTCTCGCTGAATGCTGTTGTGGATGCCGGCAACAGTTTAGTACGCTATCAAAAACAAACAGATTTAGGTTTATTGCGCTTGCACTTGTTCATTCGTTTCTTCAATCAGTCTGTCTGCTTATTTGAACGTGCAGGACGCATCCTCAGATGAGCTGAAGGCCGTCAAGAAGGCTGGCAAGGCACAGAAGAATGTGTGCACCACTGACAAGCAGCAGCACAGGAGGAAGTAGTCTCGGCATCTACACCTAAAAGGTGCTTGAGCTGTTCCACCCAGACACCGACGCGTCAAGCAGGGCCATGTGGACCATGAAGAGCTTCATGAACGACGCCTTCGAGCATATTGAGGCTGAGGTCCCCTGCCGTGGCCCACTACAAGCGCTCAACCATCGCGAGCCGCGAGAACCAGATGGCTGTGCAGCCGCTGGTGCCGGGTGAGCTGGCTAGGCACACCGTGGCCGAGGGCACCAAGGCCGTCACCAGGTACACCAGATCCAAGAGGTTCATCACCGTCACGCAGAGAGAAAAAACAACGGTCCTTTTCAGGACCACTTCTCACTCGAAAATCGGACGTCTTGCGATGGCTTCAGACGCCCGTGTCTCTTTTTTCAATGCAGTACTTGGAAAGAAACAAAAGTTGTGAGTACAAATTCGATTTTCTACCAGTTTGTAGTTGCAGCATGCATGCAATGATGGCAGCATGCCTGCTTCACAGGCATGCTGCCTATGTGAGAGAATACAATTGGTGCATTTGCTGCCAATGCCTTGTTTATCTCAGCATTTGCTTCAGCATCCCCCAATTTCCTTGCACATTCCCAAGCTGGCTTATGGGAGCTAGATCATGATCACGTGCAGCCTTTTGGCAGATCCCAGCTGCTAGGGAGCACGTCTCCCATGAGGCGGACACAATGCGGTTATCACAGTGGAGTTTCTGCTTGCCTGTGGATTGTTTATTTAGCATAACACTATAACCTGCAAAATAATTGGATGGTTCAAATTGTGGACTGCACAAAGGTCTTGGGCCACATGTAGGGATTTTCATGCAGTGTTGTGGAATGAGCACCCCCTTTTCATTCCGAATATATTCCACAGAATTGAATTTTCCAATAATTTCATTTCTTTGAACTTCTAAGAAGGGAAACACTGGGTTTTGAAATGTTGGTCACAAGCAATGTTTTGAAAAAAATTACAAAAAGGGTAACTTTTTTCTAAGACAAGATTTCTCTTATTTTGTGTGTTCTAAACCATGTCAGGGTTTCTAGGTCTCCACTATTTCCAGTAATCCTTTGGGTGTCAAAGGGGTTAAGTTGCCGGCAAATAATGTCAGTATAAAGCTGACGTTATAAAAGGCATAGACAACTGCAAAAATATGCACAAAAAAAAGTTCCGAAGGCACTATCAGGCGGTAGTCGCACATGGCACTGATAGCAATGCGTCGAAAAACTGAGGGAAACAAGAGCATGTCGCAACATGGACCCATCTTTCGAATGATTAGTGGGTAGACCGTTGTCTCCACACTGCAGTTAAACACGCTCGAATGCGAGGACCTAACGCCAGATGCCGGCGTTTTAGCGCGTTTGTTCAGTGCAGTGGAGACAAAAGCAGCTAGCTATACACCAACACGCATCCCTGACGTCATGCTGCTGTAGTGGCGTTGCTACTGGCAGGGCGCATGCACAAATGCTCCACTTCATGCAAATCTAGTTTCTGTGTATTTGCCCGCACTTTGTGTGGGCTTGTTTGTAGACAGCGCGCTGGCCTATACGTCTACCCACTAATCATTCGAACCAGGGCTCAGCGTTCTGACATCCCCGTGCTCTCGTCTCTTCCTCTCCATTAGTTTCTTGGCGCATTGTTATAATAGTTCAGCAAAAAGCCTTAACAGATAGAAAAACTTCAAACCACCCATCTTCTTCAGAAAAGGACCTTATATATAAAACCACTTCTAGGAGATATATGGCAAATGAGGAGTCGTGCATCAAAGAAACACGGGAACTGTGGCATTGTTCATACCTGGTGCTCTATTTGCACATGGTCTCAAGTCACATTGCCAAGTCTCATGGCACCACGAACGAGACCTTGTCTGCTTACAACTCTAGCTTTAATTGCTTCATTGGGGTGCGATTTTCAACCTTGAAGGAACATGAGCCAGTCAGATAACCAAGCCGTCAGTTACCTAGAGTGCAATGATGCCGTCTCAAAAATCCCTTTGACCGCATCGACACAGCTTGCATAAGAACACATTTCATCCCTGCTCAATTCTTGGCAAGATGCAACTAATTCCCTTCTAATTTTTCTCAGTGCTGCTGCCAATCCACTCTATTCTGGAGTCGCAGAATGATTGTGGAATCATTCAGACTTCAGAGTGGCAACTCCGCAACACTGTTTTCATGGTATGGGTGTTTGCCACCTATAGGCACAGTGCATTTACCCACTAATTACTAGACATGCAGGTACCACAGCAAGTTTTCTGGCAGCAGAGCAGTCAAGTCTAAAGGTTGCCACGAATGTCTTCATGCCGACAAGATTGGTGGAGAAACCGGAACTGAGAAGTGAATAAATGTATGGATGAACCAAAGAAGTTTCCAATGAGTAGCCTGTATGTCATGTTCCTGGCTATGTTCTTATGTTCTTTACAGGGCATAAAAAAAAAGAAGCCAAGAGTTACCTGTTGCAACCATTTTGGGTGGCTCGATGCTGGCGCATACACGCAGCTGGGCTATCTGTGTTGAGCTCAGCTGGTCAATTTATAAAGCTTACGAGACACGGGAGGGAGGCTCTGCTTGGTTGCCAGCTCCGATATACTACAGATGAGTGGCCTTGATAAAGGCCGTTTAAATGGGGTTCTGCCAAACATTTCTCAAGGGTAGTGCCAAGCAGTACAGCTAGAGAAAGCACAAGCTGCAGCAACTCTGTGGCTGTACACTGTACAGCCACAAGGTTGCTGCACCCTGGTCTCTCTCTAGCCGTACCACATAATGCTCTACACTTTGTGATCCATGTACCAGAGGATCGGGGGTGTACTGGACGGCTTCCTGGCTGGAAAGAGATGAAGTGACTTATTAGGGTGCAGAATGGCAAAGGACACGACGCCTACAGAAGGATTGATTTCAGATGCTACTTAAACAATGTTTAATATTGCAACTTCAAATGTGCTCGATGGCCATGTCTGATTGCTAGGAAGAATGCTAGAAATGCATGCTTGGCTTTCTATACGTTGAAACTGTCGCGACTGATATTGAAACAAGTAATACAAAACTTGCTCATGTTGAATTAACCTGAGACTGGGGTAGAGAAGAAACATCAAAACATAGAAGGGACGGAAAATAGACAGGACAACGTCTAAAACTCAGCTGAGTTTGAGACGTCGTCCTGTCTATTTTCTGTCCCTTCTACGTTTTGATGTTTCTTCTCTACCCCAGTCTCAGGTTAATTCAACTTGTTTAATATTCACCAGCTCGCCTGCACCCTTACGATTTTTTCTACAAAACTTCCGTCTATTTACATAGCTACGATTAACCACAGCTTCCATGTCAGTTCTTGATTTATGGTTCAAAACATGGACCGAGTAGTGGACCAACCTCAGCAATCCACTGGTGCGCAGTCCAGAGGAGGATACTTGAAGCCAGTGTATTGTTGAGAGGGGAAGGTTTTTCTTATTTTCTCCACAACGCACGCAGGCAGCACTCGTCTGTTGCCAGCTCCCAGTCGACCCCACATCCAGCGGGTGAACTGCCGGTATGCCACAAAGCGATACTTCCTGGAGAGGAAGAATAACAATGTTTCTTGTAGAACTGAAGGCAGAACCGCCACGTTCTAAGATGCAGCTGAGAGGCAGAAAGCAGGCTTCATCAGGTCTTTGATTTTCCGACAAGCTTTTGAAAGAACGGCCGCACTCGCTGGTTTAATGAAAACGCGTTTAGATAGTTTATATTTTCATGTGTGATGAGGCTTTTTGCTTCGGGCACGGCGAGCCTTAGGAGCACGTAAAGTGTCAGCAAAGCGAACACTACGAAGGAGGTTGTGCTCTTTTAGAAGCACGTAGTGTTAGCAAAGCGAACGCCTGCTACGAAGTCGGTTGTGCTACTATGTATCTACCTGACTGAGTAATCAAGGATATTCGTATGCGCGCGATCACGTTTTGTTGTTTCATTTGGTGTTGATGTCGCTGGCCTGTAATAAGGCGGAGCCTCCTGAAGGGGCGGTTCACCGAATAATACTTTAGCGAATAGTTGGGCGCCGCGAAGCGGCGTTTACGTCAGGGCCAATACACACACACATGTGGGTTCACATTGTTTGTAATGAGCCGCCTCAGACTGTCGCCGCGAAGCGGCGTAAAGCGCAGCGCGGCGGATGGGTTAACGCGCGCCCCCGTTATTGCCCCGGAGGCTCCGCCTTATTACAGGCCAGCGACATCAATACCTTTCATTTTGCCGTGTTATGCCAGCACCATTTGCACTCACTCGTGGAGCTCGTGGGAATGTTCGAGACCCTTCTCGCGGACCTCGCAGTACGCCACGGCGAGGACGGCGACGTCAAGGCACAGCTTGAAGAAGTCGGTGTGCACCGTGATGCACTCAGCCGGCTGCTTCCGAACAGCTTGTGGCAGCTCACGGCAGCAAAAACACTCCCGAGTTGTAGGCATGGCCGTGCAGCGGCCGCAGTCGCACCTGGATTGCAAGCTTACTTAGGACCCAGCTTATATGTTTTATATCGTGCCCAAGGGGAACGCTCACCAGTTTGTATCTCCTACTCGCCGAGGTGGCTCCGGTGGCGGAGTTGCGGGAGACGAGTCTTCCGCGGCTGGCGGAGCGGAGGGAGGCAGAGACGCGTCGCGGCGCTTGCGTGGAGTGTCCTCGTACGGCGCGACGCCTAGATCCGCACTCCTTTTAAGAATTCGGCGCTCAAAATCTGATAAGCCCGGTAAATTCATCGATGATGGCAACCCGATCCCAACCCTGCGATGGTTGCAGCGAGGCCTAACTGGCCTAACGACGACGGGCCGACCGGGCCGACGGGCTATCAACCAAACTCGCGTCCCATTGGCCAACCGCTTTGCTCCAATCGCTAAACTGTTTCATTTTACGTCATGAAGCGCAATGTTTTGCTTATTTAAAGTTGTTTTCTGCAATATTTATTTTGCGAATAACTCACAAAATATTGCGAATTTCTGTAATATTTTTTTTCCTCGGTGTTCCTGCTTTCATGGAGCTCCGTTTCAGCGCGAACTTCGAACCGGTCAAAAAAGTGTTGGTGGGCCCCTTTAAGCAGGCGCTTTTACTTTGACGGAACATTTACATCTAAATGTCTTGAAGCACTATCTATGTTGTGGTTTTTCTTTTTTTTTTTGTGAAAACACTTTTTAATCGGGTGTATCAACCGTGAAAAAACAGTACACGCGGAAGGCACTGCGCATGTTTCGTATTTTGATTAGCGCCAGTACTCCACACTGCGCATGTTTCGTATTTTGATTTGTGCCACTACTCTGGCGTGGAAATTTTCAAACACTAATTTCAAGAAGCAACCTCTGCTAAGTAACAATATGAAGTAAAAAGCGTACTGTTTAATTTTATGCAAACAAACTTGATGAGGGGCGTTTTCTAGTTTTTCCTATTTTTTGTGTGTTATAGAAAAGTAACTGAAAAGTAACGTCGTTACTTTTTAAACGTAACTGTAACTGTAACGAGCTACTCTTTTGTTGCGGTAACTGTAACGGTAACTTCGCTACTTTTTTCTGAAAGTAACTGTAACTGTAAAGGATTACTTTTTAAAAGTAACTTACCCAAGACTGACGTTGCCCAAGTCAGAAAGTTAAAAAGCTTGCGTTGAGAGTTCTAGTAGATCATTCAGTCACTAAGCAATCCGCTATACGGCATATTTAGCCTCCGCTAAATATGCCGTATAGCGGAGACGCGTTTTCATGTGTAAGAGAACGCTTGCAACCCGGTGCAGAATATAACGTTACAAGAGCTAACGCAACGCAACTATTTCGGACACTAAAGCTAAAATAAAGGTTTGTACAGTAATTCTTAGTGATCTTCTATTCATGTCGCTATCTAGATAGAACGTTAATTTATTATCGAGTAAGCTTCTGTTCATCTTTGCTTCTTTTAAAAGTACGTCCAGTACGTTTGCGGCGAGTAGACTTGAGATCCACGTTGTTCACGCCGGGTCGGCTTGGTCGTGTACTACAGCCGCGCTCGTTTCGCGACACGAGAGGAACCGCGAGATGATGGACTAACCGCTCATTCACACTGAAAGCGGATCCGCGTATGCAAAGCGGTTGCAAACGCGGTTGTATAAAGATCCAGCACAATCGCACGCGCACTCGATGACATCGAGTGCGCGTGCAATCGTACTGGATCTTTATACAACCGCGTTCGCAACCGCTTTGCGAACGCGGATCCGCTTCCAGTGTGAATGAGCGGTACGTCGGCCGCATAAAAGAAAACAAGAGTGCGACAAGTTTTTTTTCACTTTCTTTATTTTTTTTCTTGGGGGAGAGTGTGTTATTTGATATGTAACACACAGTATGGTATGGCGACACAGCATCACTGGCTGTGGAAACTGGCTAAGAAACACCTTCTGCAAGTGCCGACAGATGCGCGCTTTGGATGCCCTCGGAGGCTCCTACCGCCGGCTTTGAGCACTTGTGGAAGCACACGTGCTGCGGTTCCTTTCTTCGACTTGCCACGCCTCACACGCTTTTTTTTTTTTTTTTGACGCTCAAGCTTTTTATTATGTTACCGGAGCGTAAGAAAGACCTTTTCATCCTCCTCCGCATGGGCGCCGCCATCTTGGAATCACGTGACGCGGCAGCCATTAGGTTGCTTCAACTTGCTGCTCCACTCTCCCCTCTGTGCCTCGGCGGATTCGTTGTACTCGTGTTTTTCGTCGCGTTTCACCGCGCTTTCTTGTCCGTTACTTCAAGAACTACTCGACGACTGAGACATCGCGAGGGTTCAAAGGTCCTTATGAAACCGAGGTTTGTTTACTAATAGTAACGGAACATCCTCAGTAAGAAGCGCGTATATTTATATCGCGCATTTAGGATCGGAAGGCGTCGAGAATAGTCAGCGCAAGGAGTCTATCTGTATTTCCTGAAAGTATAGTTCTTTGTATTCACGATATATCGAAAACAGTTTCTTTTGATTATGTGAGGAAACTCACGGAGGGGGTAGACAACGAACGTTTAACTTGTATTTTATCTGAGGCTAAAAGTAATGGTATGTCAACCTCAGGCGATTTGCTTGTTCATAACATCACACATACTTGTGTTTGAGGTTCTCAATCTTTTTTTTTTTTTTTTTTTTTTTCTGACGTAAACATTCGGTTAGTCGGCTTAACTATGAAGCTTAAAAAAATGGATACCGTGCTCGCTCCCATTTCGACAGTCATTTAAGTGATTGATTGATTATGTTTAGATAACCAGTTGCATTTACTTAATTAATCTTAGCACAAAGGTTGAGTCTTCCAGCGTAAGAAACTACTACAGACACTTAACAGTAGCAAGGTTTAGAATAGCGTGCACAAAGAAATAATGTCGTTTCTATTTGCAAATCCAAAACCCGGTTTGGGTGTGGCGCATGCGCAATAATTACGATACTTTCTTTTCTTTCTTTCTTTTCTTTTTTTTTTTTTTTTTTGAGTACGCTGTTTTATTTTTTGCCTGTATCTGGAGTCCGCAATAATTAACACCAAAAAAGAGAAAAAAAAAAGAAAAAGAGCCGTCTGCGTAACAATCACTTGTGTTCAGGAGTGTCGGTGGCGAATAGAGGTTTACTTTTGGTGGCTGGCGACGCCGAAATTTACAGAGCGAATCTGTTCAAACAAATAAATATTTGTTCACACAGGTCCGTGAAGTGGTGCCTAGCGCTAGAATTCAGCCAAACTTTCCTAGGTATTTCTCCTTCTGCGCCCTTTAATTTTATTTGGCCAATTTTTGCGGAAGGCAAATGCCAGAACTAATTTGACGGGACTTTTACTTATATCTTGAGTGAGCAAATGTTCATTAAAAAATAATTTATTTCCTCAGGTCAATATCGCGAAATGCTGCTTATGAGTACTTTCCAAAGGTTGATAATTAAGAAATTTCCTGCTCGGCCTGTCAAAACATAGTCAAGTACTGAGTTAAAAAAAAGGCCGGGATGATACTACTTGGTTATATCAATTATCTGTGTCACCACACGATACGTTTTTAGTCTGTGAAGTTCATTAAATGTTAGGTGCCCCGAAAACCAAACAGTGAGTAGTAAACTCGCGAGTTCATCTGTTCTGGCCGATTAAGCACATTGCTAATCAAACTGTCAATATGCTTCTTTACACTCACGTGTTAATCTCTTCATTAGTTTGGTTTTCTAGAAACTGGTGTCATCGGGCACGGACGCAGACGATTGTAATCTTCCCTGCACATCAGACAGGCGTTTCGCAACCGATCATAATCAGATCCACCAAAGGAGTTGGTCGAAAAGCCCGCAGTTAAGGCTAAAATAAAACACACCTCTTAGGTCCTTAAAGGGACCATGAAATGATTTTAAAATCGAATTTCATCCACCGCGCGTCGTAAAAGGTATGAAAAAAAACACAAAAACACAAAACTAGGGAGCCAAAAAAAATTATTTGCTATAGAACTTTTAAAAGAAAACTGGACTCTTTTGCGCCTTCTTTCCTTCGCCTGTTCACTACGGTGCATCCGCGGAAACGGAGCACGTCAGCCGAATCCACATCGCCTATTGGGTAAGAGCCTACCTCACCAGCACCGCGATCGTAAACAATAAATAGCCGGCGAATGTTTCCTAAAAGTTTTGTTAAATAATATTCAGATCCACATTTTGTAGCATAATTAGAGATGTGTGGCGAAAATTGCCAAATTTGATAATGCTGAGAGCCAAGCGCCATCTATCGTGTGGTAATTGAAAGCAACTACTGCGCGTGCGCAGTAGGGCAGGGCCGACTTCAGTTACTTGGGTCGCGACGAACGTTTATTTCCTTTGATTTCCTTCCTCTCAAAGCTGTAACTGACTGAACGTTTATTTTTCTACGTGTTCTTCTCGCGCTTGCCGACTTCAAGCAGCAAGAAAAAAACTACTTAAAACAGACCACGACGAACAAGAACGCTGGATCCACAAACACCCGAGAAGAGCGACAATGGCCACGGAATCCACCGACTGCGAGCTGCTCAGAATATAGGCCTAGCAGGCACTCCGACTCGGCGCAGCGTTGCTTCGTCGCAAGACCGTCTGCCTACGACCGGCTGGCGTGCTGAATGGAATATGCCCGCGATACCCTTGTGGACCCTTCCCGTATTATAGTTTGATCGCTGACCTCAATCTTAGATTAAGAGGTGAGGTCAATCTCTTCCCCTTGTTTTCCGAGGCAGTGTTGACGAACACTCGTCGAAAAGGGACTCTCGTCGATTCTATCTTCTTGTTTTGTGTGACATAGAGCTGAAATAAACGCCGTATGGATTACCTTCATAACACGGTATGTACACTTTGTTATTGGTATGCATTTTTATTCTGACAAACTGCACGTCACTGTCGAGCTATAACAGTTCGTGAGAGGTATACGTGCAATGCCGGTCCAACCTTTCTTTGCCGAGTGTCACGTCAGTATCGTGTTGCAATCGTAAAAGATCGGTCCCGAAGCGCTTACCAACAGCGCGAATACAGCACTTCCATCAAACGCGCGCGTCCGCTCCGAGTGTGAACTGGTATTTACGTGGCTCTTGCTGACACTCGTAGTTCAAACGTATCTTTTCTCGCTCCTGCATCTCCGAGGCCGCGAAAAACGCCGCGGCAATTTGTTTCCATCTACGTCGCTTTGCAAACGACTGACACGGGCCGCCTTTTACCAACAATGACAGTTGGGTTGACTTCTGGAGTCTTCACCGGAAGACTCGCTGCAATTCCCAACAGGCATACCGGCGTATGGGACTAGTCCCATGCTGTCGCTGTAGCGCAACATACCTCATTGAATTTCGCTCAGCTGCGATGCGGCGATGAGAGGCGCCGATTCAGAAAATACGTCGGTGACATCAGCGCAGTAAAACCTACTGGCGCAC